GGCCCCCCCTCCCCCCCCCCCCCCCAGCAGGGGGCTCACCGGGAGCCGTCCTGCTCCTGAGGCAGCTACCAAGAAGCAGGAGGGGTGGGGGAAGCAGAGAGATCCCCAGACCTGGCACTGTTCAGCTCCTGGCTCCAGGACTGGGGACAGAGAACTGCCCCATCCCCTCTGGCCCCCTGCTAGTGTGGCTGGCCAAGAGTAAATTTGCTCCTGGTCAGCATTTACATGAGCACTACTGCACAATTAATGTAATACTTGTATTTACAGGTACTAGCTATCTGTGCAGCAGACTAATTTACTGTGCAATAAATGCCACACACATGTAGATGGTGATGCTTTATTGTGTAGTAGATTAGTCCACTGTGTAGTAAAGCATCTTGTGTAGATGCACCCAAAGATACTCATCTTTATATCCATTTAACACATGGGTAAACTCATAGGCAACTGGTGGCAGGGCCAGTCCCCCACCTGATGGCCAACACTGATGCTGTTGGTAGGGCTGATGCCCCCCCCAGACAGGGCCACTGCCATCAGCAACTTCCGCAGGTGTCCCCCAGATTCAGGAGGCACCAGTCACTCATGGGTAAACTGAACCATAAATAATTGAATGGTTTTCCTTTCATCACCCAGTTCAATAAGATCCTGGAAAGTGAACGCTGAACTTCCCTACTCTACTTGAAATATTTTTTCCTTTTCAAAGAAAATTTGAGAGTAGCAGTGTCAGTAAAAATGGTAATACTACATTCCAATAGGAAAGAACTTGACTAAATTGGTGGGGATGAAAGTGCAAGGAAAAAAAAACATTCTTTCCTTTCTTTTTCCATTTTTAGTTCTGCAGTATTGCAAATATATGAGTACAGAATTTCCATCTATGCCAGTCCCAATCAAACAATTTGTAGTAGATATTTTGAGCAGTTTGAATGTGGTAAAGATATTTCTGACATAAACAGAGGACAAATGATTAACTTTATTCTTACTTACATTTCATCACTGCCTGAACTTCATAAACTGGTGCCAGAATCAGACTGCCATCAAAATTTTCAGGAAATGGGTTAGAGGAGTCCCAACTATGCAAAATACTAAAAAGTTTCACAGTCCGATTCCTGGTCTTTGGGATTTTCCATTCAGCAATTTCTTTCAGGGTATAAATCTGGTCATCTTCACATTCATAGAACTTTCCTTGTTGTGAAATTGGCAAAGTAAAGGAATGAGACTGGTTATTTCTTACCACCCCACAGTTCACAGTCATTGTCCCATTGACCTCTTCCACGGAGTTGAACATAATCTGCTCACCCTGTTTGATGGTGAGGTTTGCCAGTTTTATATCCTCCTGGCAACAGAAGCAGGGGTGGCCCAGTCGTGTTGACCCAATAGACACCTTTCTTGTAATCTCTTCAATGCTGAGGTATGGAGTTTTATCAACCACAATCTTATAAAGACCTAAGAATAAGAAGCTTGTGTTATACAAAGGCACTTTAGAAATATGGAGGACATAAAACTCATGCAAAATTTTAGATATGGAACGTATAGGGGAGTATCAATAAAAATCAAAACAGAACATAAGAATAGGTATATTGCCAGGGAAGTGGCTCTATAAAAATAGCATCATTAAGTTGTCATATTTTTGCTCTAAGGATGGTCATTTTGCCTGTGCATAAGACTAGTCAGCACAAGCCCTTTCCATCTTCTTAGTCCCCAGTTAAACCCTATTTTGGGGGGGATTAAATAGGACTTAAATGATGTACAGTTCCCTCTGCTATAGGGGACTCCTATCCTTAATAGTTTCATAATAAATGCAATAGATTCATAGATGTTTGGGTCGGAAGGGACCTCAATAGATCATTGAGTCTGACCCCCTGCATAGGCAGGAAAGAGTGCTGGGTTCAGATGACCCCAGCCAGATGCCCATCCAACCTCCTTTTGAAGACCCCCAGGGTAGGGGAGAGCACCACCTCCCTTGGGAGCCCATTCCAGACCTTGGCCACTCTAACTGTGAAGAAGTTCTTCCTAATGTCCAGTATAAATCTGATCTCTGCTAGCTTATGCCCATTAGTTCTTGTGACCCCCAGGGGTGCCTTGGTGAGTAGAGCCCCACCAATTACCTTCTGTGCCCCCATGATGAATTTATAGGCAGCCACAAGGTCACCTCTCAACTTCCTCTTGTGGAGGCTGAAGAGGTCCAGGTGCCCTAGGCTCTCCTCATAGGGCTTGGCCTGCAAGCCCTTAACCATATGAGTGGCCCTTCTCTGGACCCTCTCCAAGTTATCTACATCCCTCTTAAAGTGTGG